TAGTCGTGGCTTGCCAGTCGTCTTCAGTTGAACTAAAACTAGGACTTGATTTAGTCGTAGTTAAAACTTCGACTACATTGTTTGTGAATACAAATTGAAGTTAAAGATGCAACTAGCACTAAATGAAGTTCTAGTTCGGAGTTCGACTAAAGTTTGTTTTAAGAATACGGGCGTTAGTCTCTCGCGTTATAAATTTCGCTCGCACCGACCACTTTTCGTTTATTAAATCCATTTCTGATGTTAAATACCTTATACATGTTAAGTCATATTTTAAGATCATGGAATCTGTGATGGTACCACGTCCTTATTATTTATTAATGATTTAGATAGTATTATAGATTATTATTGCTTTTTAAATATTTTGCTTTACTTTGCACGCACTGTATTATTCATGGTTTATGGAAATTGAAACATGAATATGTAATATTTATATTATTATCATCGTTAATGTTGCTATTGCTGTTGCCAATAAAAGAATTGGTAAATTATGTACAGCGGAACACGAGGAAGAAGGTATTGAGGTTCATCTTCTTACGTTGTTTATAAGATTCAATGCCAGATCTGTCACCGAGAATACGTTGGCTCCACTATTAAAGCGCTCCACTTTAAGGTGATTGAACACCTCTCTTCGACGCGTACACCTCTGCTCTCGTGGAGGCGCGATATCTTGGTTAGTATCGTCAGAAGAACGCCTAAAAATATACTACGTTTTTGCGTGTTGGAAGCACAATGTATTAATCGTATTAAGCTCTCCTTAATCCGTAAGAATGAGCTGAATGACGCCTTTCTTATTTCTTGATTGTCCATATTTTGCGCACTCTACACTTGTCTCTTTAGAAACTTTACTTCACCTGTTTGCTTATCGGTATTAGCACAGTATTTAAGACCTTGCCGGCCTAAGTCCTCTTTCAGTTGCTGATGTGTCATTCCCACGACGAAATATATTTAACATTAATTCTGAAATTTAAAAAAAATTGGTGGCCTGTGATTTTCTATAAAAAAAAAAATAGACTAACAAAACACTTCCAAATCTAATCCAATCCAGTCAGGATATTGATATATATGTTGATCAGGGCTATCGGTTCAAGAATGAGGCATTAATTAAGTGTGACTTGAGGAGACTTATGCAAATATCTTTTTACTTAAGCTGTCTACACAGGCACTGTTTAGTTTCTATTAGTGACAGATTGTCACCTTTTATGAATAGATAAGACTCCTTAATACATAGTTTATTAGCTTCAACCATACTTTTTCATAAATGGAAAATAATTCATAAATGGAATGTAATTCATTCTTCAAATTCGCTCATTTAGAAACTTTTCTCTCTGGAAGTTCGATTACTTAATAGTTAAACGCATTTCCGCTGATGTTCCATGTCTTTTGCACCGGATCTTCAACCGACCATTTGTCCATGATTATCAAAGTCACCCGTTTGTTGTGACTGTCAAACCCGTCTTTAATCCGGAAGTTTAGATGAATCGCACTTCCACAAAATTGTAATAAGAACGTATACCTGGTATTGGAACCTACATATTTTGTGTAAAACTTCAAATGCGAATAGACTTGGGCATACACTATCTCACTGTGACCAGTTATATTGTGATTCAGATTTAAATTCTCAAATATTGAACAGTATGTTTCCTTCAGCTATGTATCCATTTGAATCATCTTTCTTTTTAATTACTTTTGGGATTTATTTGACGATGAATATAAATATGATAGATGCCCAGAATGACACACCGCTCGCCGCATCTGATCTTAGGAACAAAAGAGATTTGTGTCCAATTTGGTGTTGGCTGAGCAATACTTGCTTCGATTTCGATTGTATTTCACCATCAACACCGATTGTAGTGACAAATAAGAGTAAGTTGTAAATCATTAAATGTACACCATGATAATTTTAATATATATATATATAT